GACACCGAAGAATCCACACTGGAGAAAAACCGTATAAGTGTCTTGACTGTGGCAAAGGTTTCCGTGACAGTTCCAATTTCATTACCCATCGGAGAATCCACACAGGAGAAAAACCTTATCAGTGTGGTGAATGTGGAAAACGCTTCAATCAGAGCTCAAGCCTTATAATTCACCAGAGAACCCACACAGGAGAAAAGCCTTACCAGTGTGAAAAGTGTGGGAAAAGCTTCAATAACAGTTCTCATTTCAACGCTCACAGGAGGACACACACAGGAGAGAGACCCTATGTGTGTCCTGACTGTGGTAAGAGTTTCAGTAAGAGTTCTGACTTACGTGCACATCACAGAACCCACACAGGAGAGAAACCCTATGAGTGCCGCAATTGTGGCAGGTGCTTCAGTAAGAGCTCTGCCCTTAACAAACACCGAGAGATCCATACCCGGGAAAAGCTGCTGTCACAGTCAATGCCTAAGTAAGCGCCCAAGGAAGGTCCTCTCCTGTCTGTGCCCGCTGGCTTAGGAAGCACCACTCAGGACTTTTGCCATTGTTTGTTCCTTATGCTTCCCAAATCTAGCCGATTCCAATATCAGTGGTTTGAAGATGAAAAGTAGATTTTGGTCTGAACTGATGGTAATAACATCTTCCCTCGTGCCTGTGCTGTTCCCTTTGAGAGGATATGTAGTAAATCCTGTGGATCTTACGTATATCTTCACTCATCCTGTCATTCAGTGCACTTCAGTGGGAAAACCCATCTCAGCAGTTTTTCAAAGAAGTTGTGAGATTACTCATTAATTGGGTCGTCTTGCTCACTTAAACCTGTGTATACTCTTCATTTATCTTTTAAAAAGAGTTTAAAGTCCAACTTGGTTCTATCTTTTTCCAAGAATCTGGGCTGGGGATATAGCTCAGTGGTAGAGCACTTGCCGAGTATGCATGAGGTCCTGGGTTCAATCCTCAGTAACACCCAGAGACAGAGAGAGAGTCAGGGAAACAATATAAGCCTTCTATGAACACTGGATTTCTTAGTTTCTTGTAGATTTCATAAGGGCTGTAATAGACTATACTGCATTTATAGCATCTTGTTTGATTTTTCTCTTCTCTCCTCCCCTTCTGCCCCTTGTGGACTAGAAGCCAAAAGAGCAAACTAGATGGATGTGGTGGCAGAAAAAGCAGTTAAAGCTACCAATAGGAGTCGTCTATTTTTCTAACACTGCACACACATTTTATATATATATATATATATATATATATATATATATATATATATATATATATATTGAGCAGCCTATGGGTGCTCAATACTGATTGCAAGGAGCAGAACCACTGCCATATTCCCATGTATAGGTAAAATACACTTTACCCTAAATGACAGGGAAGATGGTAGAGCTACCAATCTGCGCACACACATATACTCACTCAACTATACAAATAAAAGTATCTATTTAAACATACAAGTAATTATGGGTTTTCCAAATTGGGTGGTATTGAATTATTTCCCATATATTCATAGACTTATGATAAGCCCTGTATAATACAAGTAAAACAGTCCCTACCCTTGTCCTGGAAAACAGATAATACATGGACAGAAAGCACAAATATATAGTTGCAACATTTAGTATTTTTTAAAGACAGGGTCGTAGCATTGGCTGACCTAGAACTCAATATGGATATTATACTGGCCTTGAACTCACAGAGATCTGACTGCCTCAGTCTTCAAAGTGCTAGGATTAAAGGTATGTATCACCACAACAGGCTGCAACTGTTTTAAAGAAATTTAGGAAGCTAAGTAGTGTTACTATACCAGAAATAAGTTGTAACATAGCTTGCTCTGAGAGAACTCTGGAAAGTATTTTTTCAGGAAACAGTAAGCATTCAAAGGAAGAAAAGTAACTAGATAAATTATAGTGAGATAGACTTTCCAAAACTAGTTGTAAAATTGGTGCTAGGTGGGTGAAAAGTGGGAAGACATCAAAGCAAAGACAAAAGACCTTTTTAAGGTCACTAAAGCTTGACGCAGGAAAAGCTCATGAATGTATGACACAGCTATACGGAGGCAGAGAATCCGCTCAGCAGATGGGGAGCGCTAGAGGCAGACCTGAGGTGTACCCTGTGTGCTGTGTGTGCTTCCTGATGACAGAGCAGCAGCCTGGCTCAGGGAAAGATGAGTTGTAGGAGACCAGCTCCTTTGAGAGATAAACATCAGAAATTACCATCTAGTGAGATACTCTGAGGAGGTCAGAAAAGATGACCATGGTCAGATGGCCAAGACCTGGAATAACTAACTTTCACATTTCACTTTTATTAGATACCCACAGCTAGATTAAGATCTGAGGTAGTTGTAAGGATATAAGACTGTTCTAAAATTTATTAGGATGAGCAATTAATTAGGGTTCTGGTATTAAGGAATTCTAAACAAAGAACTAACATTAACAATTATGGGAAAATGGTATTTCAATTACGCTGCCTAAGCAACCAGGAAAGTACAAGAAAACCCTGTCTAAAGCAGGGCTTCAGGATCTGAGACAGCTTTGGAAGTGAGTTGCAATGTCAAGGAAAATGGGGATTATTATCGCTAGTGTTAATCTATTTTTGTACTGTGGAAAAGGCCTAAGGGTATTAGCAAACAGATGGTTCCAAATGTCTTGTATGTTAAACTGCTTCTGTTTCTCTTCCTGTAAAGCGAATAATGTTTACACCAAGTCTGCCTCTCAGGGATATCATGTTAATAAAAGTTATGTCCATAAAGTGCTCTGTGTTTCTTCAGGTGTTTCAGTGTAAATCTTACATATGCAAATTATGTAAAATTATTAGCTTGGTCATAAGTTCTTAGGATCAAATTGTGGATGGTAGAAAAATTATCTGACTTTTTTCCTTCTTGTTGTTACTATAAGTGACCTGCCTGAATTTTTACATTGTAGGCAAAGGAACAAATTACAATCACATCAAGATAACTGGGCAAGGAAAATGAGTCAGATTTTAAATTACATAGGACCCTTCAACTTCCAAATGAGGAGGATTGTATAAGAGGGACAGGGTGAACTCTCATTACTAGAGGAAGACCCAGTTCATCTCAAACTACCTCACAAACACTGCCCAGTCTGCCATGCTGAGGGTGGACAGAAGCAAAAGTAAGCCTAAGAGAAAACACTAAGGGGGGCAAGAGGTTTATGGAGCTGGAGGGAAATCTCCAGCTACCACCAAGCCCTGGCAGTCCTGCAGCCCACTTATAAAATAAACACACAGACTCATATTATCTAAACTGTTTGGCCTAATGGCTCAGGCTTCTAGCTATCTAGTTCTTACATATTAAATTAGCCCATTTCTAGAAATCTATACCTTGCCACATGGCTCGTGGCTTACCAGTATCTTACATGTTGGTACTCATGGCTGCGGCTGGCAGCGTCTCCTGAGTCAGCCTTCCTGTTCCCAGAATTCTCTTCTCTGTCCCACCTATACTTCCTGCCTGGCTACTGGCCAATCAGCATTTTATTTATACAGAGCGATATCCACAGCAGATTTAGGCCTCTAACCCTTTAACATCTACAGCCTTTATGGAAGAGGCATGCACAGAAATGTGCATTAGTAGAAATGATAGTGACTTGCTCGCATCATGTTTCCTTAGCACTGTTAACTACTTTCCCATATTTTCTCATTGAATATATTATACACACTAATTTTGTGTCAATTTTTATTCTGTAACACTTTTAAACCACCTACATTGAAGGTGAAGATATAGCTCAGTGATAAGGTGCTTTCCTAGCATGTGCAAGGCCCTGTATTCAATTCCCCAGCACAGTAAAGAAAAGAATACCATGGTCTGTGCTGCCCAAGGTCATGTTGATGTCCCAAGCCTGTACTGCTGCTGAGGACCATGATGGTGTCCGTGGTCCATGTTACCACTGAAGTCCTTATAGATGTCTGTGATCTGTGCTGCCACTGACTGAGGGGCGCAGAAGCTTCTTTTGCAGTGGAATCGATGACTGCAGACTCACAGTTGAGAATCAGACACAGAAGGCTTCTGGGACCTCTTTCCCCCACCCCCAGAAAGAATCAGTCTAGACAGGAAGCCACTGAAGAGAACGCTTTTAAAATTGTGACAGGAATTCTGAAGTGTAGCTCGTGACAGTTGATAGCTTCTGGCAGGGTGGGATAGGGAAGGACTCAGTTTTCTTTAAGGGGCTACCCACTGGAGTTTGACCATGCTCCAGTGAGTAGCATAAGGGCAACACAAATTGGACTTGGTATTTTTTTCCCTTTCTTTTCTTTAGGGGAGGTCAAAAGGGAGGTGGGGTGGACCTGGGAAGATAGGGAAGTGAATGTGATCTGATCAGGGTACATTGTGTGAAACTCCCAAATAATCAATAAAAATATTTTTTGGGGGGGAAGATGACATTTTATGGATTTTTAAAAAACATTTGTTTATTATGTATACTGTGTTCTGCCTCCATGTATGCCTGCGTGCCAGAAGAGGGCACCAGATCTCATTACAGATGGTTGTGAGCCACTATGTAGTTGCTGGGAATTGAACAGAGGTCCTCTGGAAGAGCAGTCAGTGCTCTTAACCTCTGAGCATCTCTCCAGCCCCCCATTTTATGTATTTTTTAAAAAATCTGTATATGTGAATATATATAGTTAGAAATGTAAGGTTATGCTGGGCGGTGGCGGGGCACGCCTTTAATCCCAGTGCTCAGGAGGCAGAGGCAGGTGGATCTCTGTGAGTTCAGGGACAGCCTGGTCTACAGAGTGAGTTCCAGGACAGCCAGGACTGCTTCACAGAGAAACCCTGTCTTGAAAAACCAGAAAAAAAAAAGAAAGAAATATAAGGTTTATTATAAAACATATATCTAAGAGCTTCAGAATTTAAGTATTCTCCTCTCCTGTGCACCCTAAAAGACACACAGAAATTTCAACCTTAGTAATTGAATTAAGGGTGTCATCAGGCTTCTTCTCTGAGATCAGGGAAAACATACGTTCTAATAAGGAGAGCAATTCAAGCATACTTAACTGTTTTAGGGTTTTTAATGCTGTGATAAAACACCATAACCAAAAGCAACCTGAGGAAGAAAGAGTTTTATTTCCTCTTGTAATTTGTAGTCCATCATCCTAGAAAGTTGAGGCAGAAACTGGAGCTGAAGCAATGGAGGAATGCTGCCTACTGGCTTGCTCATGTGGTTCGATCAATTTCTTTTCTTATTCCACCCAGAACCACCTGCCTGGGGTGGCATCACCTTCTGTGGGATGGGCCCACAACTGATAAAGCACTGATTAGGCCAATCTGGTGGGAGCATTTTCTCAGTTTAGGGTTCTTCTTCCCAAATGACTCTAGCTTGTGTCAAGTTGAAAAAGCTAACCAGGACATTTGCTACCTGTTAAGTCATTTTCTTACCTCGCAGAGCCAATCTTAGTTGTCCTTGTGTTGGGCTAAAGTGGCCATGGTATATATGTGTTTATGTAAGCCTGTGCCTGTGGGCATGAGGTCATAGGAGATCTAAGAACCCTAGAAGCCACAATGCTACCATTCCTAGAACGATCTTCGAAGTGAGTCCTGGCAGCTTCCACAAAGAAAGCTAAACAGAAGCTGATTTGAAAACTGAAGCTCCAGCCTATGTCTTTCTCACTTCGAGCCAGCAATTCTTTCCTTTTCTTAAACTGAAGAAATTACTTCAATCCCTTTATATATTTCTAAAGATATTACGAGATGGGCAAGGCAGAGTCTAGCTTTGTCACTCAGTCACCTGACAACTAGGCACCCACACAAATGGTTTTGGTGTGCAATGTGGCCTGGCATCGACAGTCTTGAGAAATAACACTTGTAAGGGTTAAAGGAAGCGGAGGGAGTCTGATTGACGAAACACCGAGGTCTTCCCGAAGACAAACAGCTTCAGCTTCTCAGAAGGTTTATGATCACGACCTGAGAGGGAGCGGTAACTGAAAAAGTCACTAGTGGAAAGAGGGATCTGGCTAACGGCCCTCCCGTCCTCCAGCAGCAGCATGTAGATGAAGCAGGCCAGGCCTCGGTGCTCTTAGTCTGAGGTATTACAAGCATTTACCATACGTAAGGTGCTGGTGTCATGACCCCACATATATCTGGTACTGAGCTTCAAGGAAGTAGTGGACAGTTCACTGAGTGGGACGTGGCAGGAGAGACGGTTACAGCATATAATCGAAAGCAGTTCACCTCATCCCAGCTTAAAAGTGTAGCACTTTGGGCTTCAGGTGATTCCACCTCTTTCTCAGTTCAGATCTGGTGTTGTTAGAAGCGAAGATGTAGCTGATGGATTCATAAGACAGATCCCACACCTGAGATGGGGTCAAATTAAATGTTTCTGCTGCCAGTCGATATTCTTGAGAAAGGTATGTCGCAAAAACACCCTTATCATCGGTCTGCCAATATAAACAAGAACAGTTCAAAATGAAGAAGTGCTTTGTAAAAATTAACTTTTTTTGTTCAGAATTTATTTTCCCATGCTTCTCTCAATAGTCTAAAAAGGAATGTATACGTGCATATCAGTGACAAACTTGTTTATACTTAAAAAAAAAAAAAGGCCAGAGTACTTTAACCCTGGCTTGTATATTACAAGTACATAAAGAGCTTTTAGAGCATATCCATGGCCAGGACTCATCCCAGATCAAATGAAGCAGGCCCTGTTGCATGCATACTGGGCACCAGCACTCTTTTTAAAGCTTCCCCAGATACTGCCTTTCTGCTTCTCAGAACCAAGCCAGTTATCACCTGAGCCCTTTGCAGCTTCCCCTTCCCGCTCTAGTCCGTTACTGGGGCATTTCCTTTAGGAACTCGAGCAAGTCAGCAAGATAATAAACCTGTGACTTAATGTAGCAACTAAAAAGGAGCAGGAATAGAATACTTCTTACACAGATCACAGAAGGATGAGCAATGCTGTACCAGAATCCAAAATGATGCTGGTCATAAGAGGGAACTGTCTGGCTTTTGATGTTTGAGGTCAAACAAAGTTCTAGATGAAAGGGGAAAAAATCCTTCTATTAGAAGCAAGTAAGTGAACTCATTCAGTGAGCACCAGGCAGACTCACAAGAAAACTTTCCAAACTGCTAATTTAAGCAGTTTCATTATTCCACAAAACGCACTGTTGATCATGTGTAATGGGAAACTGTAGTTCCCATCTGGGGTGTAGCTCAGCAGAAGAGTGCCTGTCCTGCACGTGCAAGGCTCTGCACTGGCTTCCACCACCACAACAAACACACAAATTGCAGTTTGGAGAATGTACTTGTACAGAGATACCTGTTATCACTGTGATAATGGCTGTCCCAGGCAAGGAGTTAATGCTTTCTTCACAGTGATGGGCTTCCCTTGCTTCACCAAGATGACTTGAGAAAGACTACAGGCCCGGAGTATAATCAGCCTGCCACACTCCTTCACAAAGCTTCACATCCATCCTTGTTGTTTTAACACAAGGCTCTCTATGGAGCCCTGGCTGGCCTGGAACTTACTGGCTAGCCTTGATCCACTTTCCTCTGCCTCTGCAGTGCTGGGATTAAAGGTGTGTGTTATCATGCCTGGCCTAATACCGATTTGGGGGGATGTATTTGTTGTCTTCTGATGAGTTTAGGAAGGAAGCTGTCTACTGTCTTTACTGCTCTACTCTCAGCAAATGGTGTAATGACTACAACAAAAGTCACTTCATAAGCACAGTCACAATCAAGTATGCAATGTCAATCAGTATGTAAAAATTGGTTTACACTTTCCCTAATTTTTAAACATGTTTTTTAATTTTTATTTTGAGTATGTCTATGTGCTACTTGTACACTGTTGTGGAATATTATTTTAAGATGTGTTACATTCATTTATGCTGTGGATTACTTGTTTAAATGATGCAAAGATGTGTTGTATCCTTTTATGTTGCATTTGTTTAACTCTGTAAAGCTGTGTTACTTTGCCTAATAAGGAGCTAATAAGGTCTAATAAGGAGCTAAACGGTCAATAGCTGGGCAGGAGAAAGGAGAGGAGGGGCTGGCAGGAAGAGAGAATGAATAGGAGGAGAAATCTAGAAAAAAGAGCAAGGAGGAGGATACAAAAGAGGAGGAGAGGAGGATGCTGGGGGCCAGACACACGGCCAGCCACAGAGTAAGCAGCCAAGACATATAGAATAAGAAAGGTGGGCCGGGCGGTGGTGGCGCACGCCTTTAATCCCAGCACTCGGGAGGCAGAGCCAGGCGGATCTCTGTGAGTTCGAGGCCAGCCTGGGCTACCAAGTGAGTCCCAGGAAAGGCGCAAAGCTACACAGAGAAACCCTGTCTCGAAAAACCAAAAAAAAAAATTAAAAAATAAAAAAATTAAAAAATTAAAAAAAAAGAAAGGTAAAAAGCCCAGAGGCAAAATGTTAATTTAAGTTAGAAAAGCTGGCGAGAAACAAGCCAAGCTGAAGTCAGGCATTCATAAGTAAGAATAAGTCTCCACTTATTTATTTGGGAGCTGGGTGGCAGGCCCCCAAAGAGTAAAACAAAACAAAACAAACAAAAAACAACTACAGTATGCCTAGTGCCTAAGGAGGGAGGCCAGAAGACAGTGTCAGATCCGCTGGAACTGAAGTTAGACACAGTTGTGAGCGCCCATGTGGGTTCTGGGTATTGAACCCTGGTCCTCTGAAAGAACACCCATTGCTCTTAACTGCTGAGCAATCTCTCTAGCCCCAATTCCCCTAATTTTTGAGACAGGTTTCCCTGAGTAATCTAGGCTAGTCTCAAACTAGTAATCCTCCTGCCTCAGACTCCCACATGGTAGGAATATAGGCCCGTGCCACCAGCTGTAATTCTTAATTTTTAAGTAAATGTTACACATTTCTATAACATTAATTTTAATTTTTTTACATTTATTTAGAGAGGGAGAAAGAAAGAGAGAGAAAGGAGAGAGAGAGAATCAGAGGACCCTGTGAGTCACCCAGATAGAACTCAGGTCATCATGGTTGGCAGTATACATCTCTACCTGTGAACCATCTCATTGGACCCATGTGTTATTTTTATTATGGTCATCTTCAAAATTCTAAATGACCTTTATTCCTTAAACAAACAAAACAATAACAACAACAAAAGACTGAGTTCCCAGCACTGGAGACTGTAGCAGTCTGTAAGGATGAACACAGCCAGAGTAAGAGACAGACAGAGAGAGCCCTGCCATCATGAAACTCATTTTCTAATAGAAGCTAAACCTTTCAGCACTTAAATGAGACCCAGAAAGCACACATACCATATGTCTTAGTTTGTAAATATCTGAATTTTAGAACAATACTTTTCCACATAAATCTTGCAATCTGGGGCCTGGAGGAAGAAGGGCAAGAGGGTTGTCTGGGCGACATGAAATTAAGTCCTACCCAGAGGTATCTGGTGTTGCCTCACAAAATCCACCTGATCCAGGGATCCTCCCTCGCAGGAGTTGAGGAATGTTCCGTGCCCGATTCTGTCAGGAAGCAGATCCAACAGCATTTGTGTTTCTTTTTTCTTATTTGGAACCTTCAGAAAAGTAAGAGGAGAGGATCAGTGGCCTTTACCAGTAACTGAGGTATTTTATTCTGCCCTCTGAGTAATGAATGCCAACATTTTTAGGAAACATAATTACTTAAACCTTCTCAAACCTCCTCAGCTTTATCAATCCTTTACGGCATAATAATAATCTCATGAAGTATGAACATACAGAAATAAAAGCTAAGCCGGGTAGTGATGGTGCATGCCTTTAATCCCAGCACTTGGGAAGCAGAGGCAGGTGGATCTCCGTGAGTTCAAGGCCAGCCTGGTCCTCAGAGTGAGTTCCAGGATAGCCAGGGCTGTTACACAGAGAAAACCTGTCTTGAAAAACCAAAAAAAATAAAGGAGAAGTAGTAAAAGCTAGCCAAGTGGTGATGGCACACCCCTTTAATCCCAGCACTTGGGAGGCAGAGGCAGGAAGATCTCTGTGAGTTCAAGTCCAGCCTGGTGTACAGAGTGAGTTCCAGGACAGCCTGCCTAGGGGAAAAAAAAAAAGTGGAAGCTAAGAAAAATGAATTTCCATAACAAAACAAACCCCTTAATTCTATATGTGTGTGTGTGTGTGTGTGTGTGTGTGTGTGTGTGTGTACATGTGTTCACATATATTAGAAAAAAGTACAGAAGTAAAAACAACAAATTAATGCTGCCTCTTGGCAGGATTTTACACTCTTTTCCTTTGGTGCTATACTTGAAATTTCTTCAGGTATATAAAACTTTTAGTCAAAAACATAAAAACACTGTTCGCAATCTGAGATGGTATGGGTAAGGGTGAAAATCTAACTTCATCAGACTCCAAGGCCCCACACTCCCCTCCCCATGTGCTCACATTTATTCTGACAAGGCTATCTATGAACATACCACAATCAGGAAAATGTCCAGCTATGCTCTTTTTCTCCTACATAGACTAGAAGGCAAATGGCCAAAATATTTTTAAGTGAACTATTTTATATTCAATGCAGCAAATAAGAAATTAAGATACCTAGCAAGTTCTGATCCTAAGCACAGGCCAGAAAAATTGGTCACAATGTAATGGGAACCATAAAACCTTAAAAACAGTAACATTAAATCAAATCATGCCTTAATGTTGTAATTAACACTTAAAAATACTTCTAACTCCCCCTTCTAAAATGTTCTAAACAGCGTGGTGACATAGGCCTACAACCCCTAGCACTTGAGGTGGGGGCAGAAGAATCAGAAGTTCAAGGACATCCTCAGCTACAAAGTGAATTCCAGGCCAGTCTGGGTTACATGAGACCCTGTCTCAAAAAAACAAAAAACAAAAAACAAACAAAAACAAAGAAAAACAAAAAAAAAACTATTTCTACTAGTATTTCTACTACAATTTTATTTTTTAAATTATAATCTGCCCTCTCTACTCTATGACAATATTATTTACCTCTGCAAGATGCAATGCCAACTTCAGACCTGCTTTTTTAGCTTCTAGAAGAGGTTCCAAGAAGTCTTTTGCTTGTCCTATCTTGAAGATAAAATGAGGGTGCATGAGAAAACTGAGCAAACTGAGGGATCTGGTGTTCTGCCCCAGAAGGGATAAAATGATGGCAGATTGGTTTCATTTGAACCTCTTGCTTATAGAGAGCCTTTAATGTGCTGGACCCTTTAGGGAATACACCATGGAAAGGCTGTCCCTGACCTTGAATCTTAAATCCAGTACCAGTGAGCTCAGGTCAACAAGCAAGTTGGGTGTGATGGGTCAGAATTTTTATTTCACATAGATGTTTAGTATTATGGAGAACTCATTTGATTTAGGAAGCTTTCATGATTAAAGGCAACAACACACACAAGCACATAAGCGAGAGTGCACACACACACACACACACACACACACACACACACACACACACACACACACACACCAAACCTCACAAAAATAGACAAAAATCAGAGGACTACCCACAAAGAATTATTTGGCCCCAAATATCAAGACTTGCTTGAATCTTTCACTAAGGAAGCTCATGCAATCTTTCTTTCTAGGGGGGTTTTTGGGGTATAATTACACTTTTAACACCCTTATCTATTCATGATACATAATGGAATTAACTTGTGGGTACAAAGACTGTTACTACTTATTTACTCTCTTTAGAAGAATGGACAGAGTGGTCGTATCTAATAATATCTGTAATTTATTTTTACAGTATTTCTAAAGAATCCTTAAGAAATGCTATGCTATATATTCTGTTGATCTAGGGCAAAACAGGGCATCATTAGGTGTGTGCTGGAGCCTAATGTATGATGCTCCAAACTAATGCTCACCCCACTGACTGATTCTGCCACTAGGAGATAAAATATAGTAACTTACAGTAGGGTCTCCACTGAGGTCAAGGCCAAGAACTGTATCCTCAGTAGAGAGGAAGAACTCTTTAGCAAGTTTAACAGTCTCCTTGGCTACTGTCAGGCCACCTCTTCTGTCAATTGCCATCAAATACCTTTAATATAAGAAAAACAGTTGATACTACCCTGGCAGGAAGATATTATAATCAAGAAAATCACAGTTGAAGGCAGGCATGGGTATATATGGGCCTATAATCAAAGTATCTGGAAGGTGGAGGCAGGAAGATCGTCCTGAGCTATCAAGTGAGTTTAAGGCCATCCTGGAATGCATGAGACCTATCTCAGAAAAACCAACCAAACCACAAAACCTCCACCAATTTAAAATCAACTAACTCCAGAAAGGGCTACCTATAATCATATGTCTTTTCCTTATGAACTTAGCTGCTTCATTGAGGCTACTTAGTACAAAGCCACCAGAAGAGTAAAGAGCAACTCAGAACCACAGAAATATCTGAGATGGGTAGTTAAAGGCCAGCCTGGGCCACATTAGACCATGTCAAGGCCCCGTCTCCAACAAAATGAAAAAAAAAACACCAAAAATCCACTTGGAAAAACTATGATGCATATAAAAAGGACTGAATTTTGCTAGAAAAAGGTGGCTGGCTACTTGGAGTATAGCTTACTCTGAAAGGCAGTGAGTCTAAACATGACACTGCACTTTGCTACACAGAATGAGCCAGGAACGTCTAACCGTCTAAACAGTGTCAGTAGCCAGTCTGTTCAAACTTCCAATCATCTCACCTTTTTGTTTACATCTTAGGATATTCTGGTTTTTGTTTTTAGTTTGATTCAGAATCTAAATGAAGTCTGCAGTTTTTGTTAGTCACTGTATCTCTCATCTTTATCTTTTTTTATTTTTTATTTTTTTTTCCCCCTTCGGAGCTGAGGACTGAACCCAGGGCCTTGTGCTTGCTAGGCAGGCGCTCTACCACTGAGCTAAATCCCCAACCTCTTGATCTTTTTTTAAAGTGTATTTTGTGTATGGGTGTGTGCGCGATCATTTGTAAGGGTTCCAAGTACAGACAGGGTTTTAGTGAATATGTGAAAACCAGAGGACAATCGGGTGTGGGTCCTCAAGTACCTTCACCTTTCGTCTGAGACAGAGTCTCCCATTGGCCTGGAACTTCCTCATGCAGGCCAAGCTAGCTGGCCTGGGAACTTCCAGATCTGCCTGTCTTCACTTCCTACCTCACCATCTCTAGGATTACAGCATGAACACCTGGCTTTTTATGGGGGTTCTAGGGATTTGAACTCATGTCCTCACACTATCAGCTGAGCCATCTCCCAAACTCCTAAGTCTCTTTTCATCTATTCCTACTCACTTCTCTCCCATTCTCATTTCTAGCCTACTTCTTTTCTTGCAATGTATTTGTTGTGTGTCCTACAAAGCTTCCCACAGTTTGGGTTCTGTTGACTGCATCCCCATGTTAACATGTCCTCCTGTATTTTCTATAAACTGATTAACTGGATCTAGTTTAGATGCTTAATTAGATCAGACTTAATTTTTTGACAAGAATAAATAGGTGATGAAGCCAGGCATCATGTATGGCACATGACCATAAACCCAGCACTTGGGAGAGAAGGCAGTCGGACCAGGAGTTCAAGCACCTTCACCTTTCGTCTGAGACAGTCTCCCATTGGCCTGGAACTTCCTCATGCAGGCCAAGCTAGCTGGCCTGGGAACTTCCAGGTATCTGCCTGTCTTCACCTCCTACCTCCTTGCTTGTCTGTATCGCAAGTTCCAGGCCAGTCTGGGCTACCTGACTCTATCTCAAAAGCTGGCTTTGTTCAAAGTACTGAAGATGTAGTGGTGAATCAGTGTCAAGGACTCTGGCCTCTCTGAACTTACACTCTAGTCAAAGGGTGTGTACACTTCATGACAATACAAACTAATGCCACAGAGGAACATGAGTGAGGAGGGGATCTGAGGCCAGAAACACGTTAGACAGACTGGCCTCTCTGAAGAAATAATAGTCAAATTGAGACCTGAATAATGAGAATGAAGATGTGTAAGGACATGATGGAAGGCATATGTGCCAGTAAGTGCAAGGCACTGACATAGATAGTCTTAGCCTACAAGAGAGAGAGCAAGGAGCCAGATCCTGTGGGACTATGTGGGTAGTTACAAGAGGTCCACTTTGCCGGGCAGTGGTGGTGCACTGGGAGGCAGAGCCAGGCAGATCTCTGTGAGTTCGAGGCCAGCCTGGGCTACAGAGTGAGTTCCAGGACAGGCTCCAAAGCTACACAGAGAAACCCCGTCTCAAAAAAACAAAAAACAAAAAAACAACAACAAAAAAGGAGGTCCACTTCACCTTAACAGCAACGAGAAGCCATACTCAACTTGAGCAAAAATACTAGAATTTCACTACCAGATGACCAAATTCAGAACTGTATTCTCATCTTATGCAACAAGGTTCTTGATTCTATTTTTTTTCTATTGGAGGTAAAAATCAGATAACAGTTGATTTTTAAAAAAAATCCATCACCTTTATGAGACAGTAAAACATCACATTCTGCTTTTTAAAAGGGTAACTATTATTAATGCACCATCTTCTTACCTAACATCAATATCTAAGTTTTCTTGTTTGCACTGTTTTATGCCTTCAAGAATGGATTCCACGTAAGTCTTCTTCGTCATTCCTGGAAAGAGCACAGAGGAACATATGTAAAAACAGTATCACCTAGTTCATCCTGCAAACAGCAACACTTTATGCTACCCTAGGGCCTGGTTAATGGTGAATTAAGCGTGGCCTTTAGGGAAACCTTTTGTTTTTTTAAATATTTTATCTTGTGTGTGTGTACATATGCACATGTGTGTGAGTACCCAAAGAAGCCAGAAGAGGGCGTCAGATCTCCTGGAGCTGGAGTTACAGATTGTGGTGAGCCACCTGATGTGTGTGGGTGCTGAGTACAAACTGGTCCTCTGAAAGAGCAGAAGGGCTCTTATATGCTAAGCCATTTCTCTGGCCCCAAGGGGAAACATTTAAGTATAGTATTCTTTGTCTGTCTATGGACCTGGAGACTTAACCTAAGACATCATGTTTGCTAGGCAGATGCTCTACCACTGAGTCACATTCTTATTCCTAAACAATGTGGCCCAAGCCAGCCTCAAACTCATAATCCTCCAGCTTCTACCTCACCTCTAAAGAATACTCTACTATTATCTGCTATCACAACAGGCCATTTCAGTTAATGACTGGACTTTAGTAAAACTGAAAAGACTAAGTTTAAAAAGTGAAAAAAATCAAAACCAACTTTAGGAATAATAAGTGCTTTTTAAAAATGTTCATAAACAAACATAAAAGTAATAAAAGACAGAAAATAGAAAACAGATCAAAATGACAATCAATACAAACCCAACTGAAAATTAGTCTTTGTCCTCTGACTTCCACATGTGTGCTATGGCATGTTCCTCATACAAAAATAATAATTTTTTAACTTAAAAAAAGTTATTAAGAGCTAGTCATGGTGATACTACCTTAATCTTGGCATCTGGGGAGCTGAGGAAGGAAGATCTGAAGTTTTAGGCCAGCCTGGTCTACAAAGACCTTGTTTCAAAATACCAAATACATAAATAAAGAGATTTTTCTCTCTTAGCAGGATGTTTTTCTTCTACTCTAGGGAAAACCCCTAAAACTGGAAACCCAAGTTCCTTCCCTCAACCCTGCTCAGGCCGGGCCTCTCACACACAGCCTCAGAGACATCATCCAAGTTTAGAGGGCTCAAGTCTTCCCCTGGGGTGCCTTGTAAGACTGTTCCAGCAAAGTCTCTAAAATTGCCTTTTACTTGTCATAAATGCTTTTTTTATGGAACCTTTCATTATAATAAAAAAATGATGAATAAAAAGTAACCACAATCCCATTACCGATATTTACTATTGTGTACACATGCATATGTTTAGCAGATGAAATGCCACTAGCTTTATATTTTCAGTAATTTAACAATGCATTGGGTAATTCCACCTGAAGTGTCTCTGCAACAGAACCCTCTCTCTCTCTCTCTCTCTCTCTCTCTCTCTCTTTTTTTTTTTTTGGAAATAGGGTTTTACTATGTTGCTCTGGCTGGCCTGGAACTCCTTATATAGACTGGGCTGGCCTCAAACTCAAAGAGATCCGCCTGCCTCCACCTCCCCAGTGCTGGGATTAAAGGTGTATACCACCACATCTAGCTGCAAATATTTTCTTCTTAGTTTAATTTATTCATGTTTTATGTGTGTATGTTCCCACACATGGGCATGCACATGCCACACTGTATAACTTGAAACGGATTCTACAGTTTAAAACTGTGAGATAAGAATCTCCTTTTCCCATTTCAACATTTACTTTAATAGTTCCAAATAGTTCTTAACTGGCTACACGTTTTGGTGTAAGATAACCTAGGTCTCTTCAGGTCAAGAGGGATTCACTGATAATATATAGTATCTCCTGATTACAAAACAAAACAACCACCTCCCCTGTCCCTGAGATTCTGGCCATGTAGCCAAGGGCAGGCAGAAACTCACTGTTCTCTCACTTCTGCCTTCAGAGGGTTACAGGTGTGAGGCACTATGCCTGGCCTGATCCAGCTCGTATGGAAGGTTCTATGAAATTCCTGCATACCATATCCACCTCAACTCTTTTCCCAGAGGCTTAACACTTTCCAACTTGCTCCTAACCTAATACTAACAGTCTCTAAGGAGTCCTGAATATCTGATATTTCAGTGACTGCCATAAAGTAGTATTCTATAGCCACTTAGTGACATTATTTCACAAGTACAGGAACAAGAACAACCTTTACTGAAGACAAGATTAGAAGATTAAGAGATGCTACTTCCCCTTCTTTATCAAAGAGTGCCCAAGTGGGTTTTCTACTTTTGATTTAAGAATAAATTACGAATAATGAGCATCACCGCGGCTCAGGAGTAGATCACTCGCCTGCAATGTGTGAGTCCTGGTCCTGAAACTCAGCATCATCACATATATTTTTTAAAAGCCATTTCAAGCAGCACTAATGTGCACTCTAAGAACTTTTGTGGTTGCTGAGTAACGGAAGCAAACATGAACCCTGTGTGACCAGAGCACATGGCAACAGGACAGCACATTCCCTGCGAAGTAATTAAACTCTACCGGTAGCGTTCTCTCCTCTGGGGGTGCTCCTCAGCTCCAGGTACTTGACACCATCGTCTGCAAACTCCTTAATGACATCCTTTGTGACCTGACAATAAAGACAACGCACACACGTTGACAGTGCTGGAGGAAGGTATCCAACGGAAGGGCCGAGTGCGACAGTTTTACTTCATTGGTTAAATTTGACTGGCAAAGGACGTAGGAAATCTCCCGGGTAGTAGGACAGCCTGCTTTGTCCATACCTAACGGAGACCACGCCAGCTCAGCAACAGTTCCCAGGACCCCATTCCCACGTGAAAACCAAGTCTGCATACTAGTCATTCTTTCTTTTCTTTTTTTAATTTTTGAGACAGGTAGTCTAAGTGAGCCTTGAACTCACCTGATTCTCCTGCCTCTGCCTGCCTAGTGGCAGTCCTGGCTTTCTCTCCCTTCTTGAAAGCATCCCTTTGACTTCCTAGTGTTTATAATAGCAGATAAAAGAGAAATGAGTCAAAGCCAATGGAGCCACACAGTGTTTGCATGGTGCTGGGAAATGTACAGACAGAAGTAAACAGCTCTACTGATGTGACAATTAGACATTATCTGTGTGGTAGCTAAGGTCGTGGTTTAAGGTTCTTATGCAAGTTTTGTAGGAACGCCCTGTATTTTTCACCAAATTCTAGTAGGCCAATTTTTTCTCTGAGGTATTTGGGAAAATCACCCCTAGGCAAAGAAAGTGTGCGATAAATAAAGTAGAACTATTTAATACTGTACAAACCTAACAACCGAAAAATTGCTGAAGGCATATTTTTTCTTTTCTGCCATCAATCCTAAGAAATACCAAATTTAGATGGGGGGAGAAAGACCAGATTGGAGATCCCACAAGTCTGCCCTACTTGGCCCTTCAGTTGTTAAGCTAATCTTAATCTTCTTTGACTGTGCACATGAACCTGCAAGGACAGTGTCGTAACAAAGGAACAAGGGCTGGCTGGCTCTGCAGACAATACCTAACAGATAGTACTTAGTGAATTTCTAGCAATACAATGTCTGCACCCATGTTTTTTTGGCCTCATGAAAGCAAAAAAGGAATTTTTTTATTTTTTGTTTTTCAAGACAGGATTTCTCTGTGTAGCCCTGGCTATCATGGAACTTTTTCTGCCTCTGCCTCCTAAGTGCTAGGTTAAAGGTATGTGCCACCACTGCCCTGTCTGGAAAGGAATTATTAATAATAGAATGGATAGTTCATATTCACAAGACAGGCTAGAAAATCAGACAGAGACTGCACTGCTCAAGGCAACACGACAGCAATTCAAACTCATGTCATCATAGACAACACAAGGTAACACTGCTGCCCCTTCACCTTCCAGCACTGTTGGCACTGGACGCTCTGGGGACTCCTGCCAAGAACACCAACCTGTTGCCACTGCCGTAACAAAGCACAGCCTCATCTCTGCAGGCTGAGAAACCTGGATCTCACCATTACCCAGAACTACAACCAGGAAGGGCCAACTTACCCTCTTCCCCTGAGACCAACAGAGAAACCAGATGCTGAGAGCAGCCGTGTTAGGGGCTGGCTCTCTCATCTATTCCAGTTCTTGCTCGGACAGAACACAGTCCAATCAGTTAACTTCCTTAACAGGAAAGTGTATCAGCTCTGGAAGAGACACTATTCTGTCACTCTGGATGTGTGACTTTAAGTAAGCTACATTTCATTTTTCTCTTTTTTTTGGTGAAGGGTGCTGGGAAGTAAGCACAGGGCACTAAGCAAGCGGTGCACCAATGAGCTGCAACCCCAGGCCACTTTTAATCTCTTTTCTGAGACAAGGTCTCTCTACAAAGCTCTACAAAGTTCTGTGCTGGAACTCACTCTGTAGACCAGGCTGGCCTCAAACTCACAGAGAACCACCTGCCTTTGCCACTCAAATGCTACACCTAAAGGCGCGGGCCACCATGCCTGGCCCTTGTAGAAGCTGACTCTTTTACAGGTGATCTTGAGTAGAGTTTAAGTGAGTCCCATGTCTTAGTCAGGGGTTCTATTACTGTGATAAAACACCATGACTAAAAGCAACTTGGGGAGCTTACAACTCCATCACCAAGAGAAGTCAGGGCAGGAACCGGAGGCAGGAGGAAACTGAATTAGAAGCAATAAAGGAGTGCTGCCTAATGGCTTGCTTGGCTTGCTCAGCAGGGGTAGACTGCCCAGAGTGCTGAGCCCTGCCATATGAATCATTAATCAAAAAATGCCCAATAGACCAACAGACCTGCCTACAGACCAATCTTATGGAGGCATTTTATCAACTAAGATTCCCTCTTTTAGCCAGGCGTGGTGATGCATACCTTTAATCCCAGACCTTGGTAGGCAGAAGCAGGCAGATCTCTGTGAGTTCGAGGCCAGCCTGGTCTACAAAGTGAGCTCCAGGACTGCCAGAGCTGTTACACAGAAAAACCCTGTCTCAAAAAGAAAGAAAGAAAGAAAAGAATCCCTCTTTCCAGGTCTGTCTACATGGCTACTTCACCGTCGTCACTTTTAGATGCTTGTGCCAGCAGCACTAAACCAAATGCATAGAATCGTCCTGTCTCATCGAGAGCTTCCCACCAACTTTCCTTCTGAGACAAAAACAGCATTACTCTACCAATGGTGCATTAAGCTCATCATCTGCCCTGTATGATCCACTAATAAAGTAAGACCGGAGCCCTTGTAGTAGACACTTCCAGCAGTGTCCTCTGGTATCTGCTGAGCAGCTAATGAGATGGCATCCTTTGAGATGCCTATAAAGCCCTCTGCATGTCCCCAACAGAGAGCTTACCGCACTACATAAATCCATCTACTGGCAGGACTATTTCTCCAACCTCCCACAAAACTCCCAGAAGTATGGATTGTATCTGTATCTCTTTAGATCACCCAAGTATATATACTTGGTATAGTGCCTGGAACATGGAGGGTACACAGTCAACTTTTGCTGAACCAAATTATTAAAGTTAATTCTTCTCTAAAAGGGAATCAATACAATTAGCATGCTTATTCCAAAGAGGAAGAAACTGACTAAAGGTTAATTCTCCAGAACCTAAATTGTATTTTTTTTATTTGCCTTTTCATTTTCTTTTCTTTCTTTTTCTTTTTTGCATGCAGATGTGGTAGATTTCAAACCCAGGGTCTCTTTCATTCTAGGCAAGCCCTCTACCACTGAACTACTCACCTATCCATTTTTTTTCCTTTTATTTTCTGTATCTGTCTTTCCTTCCTTCCTTCCTTTCCTGCGCATGCCTGTGTGTGTGAGACAGAGGTAGGGAGGGGGTGTTAGTCTTGCTATGCAGTCTAGGCTTGAATGAGCTGTATTATAAGCACGTCATGTTTTCCTTAATGACCTGGGCATTGTGGTGAACACCTGCAATCCCAGCACTTGAAAGGTGGAGACAGGAAGACTAGGAGTGTAAGGCCAGCCTCAACTACAGAGACCAGTCTGGGCTATATGGGAAAAAACAAAAACAAAAAACAAAGAGAGGAATGAATAATAACGTAATGCCCATCTGAGGTCTTCTTTTTTTGAAGGTATATTTTTATTTTATGTGTACAAATGTTTTTCCTGCTTGTATGTTCACCATGTGTGTGCAGTGCCAGAGGCCAGAAGAGGATGTCAGATTCCCTGGATCTGAAGTTACAGTGGGTTGTAAGCCACAATGTAGGTGCTGGGAATCAAATCTGGGTCCTCCGGAAGAGCAGCCAGTGCTCTTCACCACTGAGCCATCTCTCCAGCCCCAAGTATTTCTTATGACATGTCATATATGGAATCTTCACCACTGAGCCATCTCTCCAGCCCCAAGTATTTCTTATGACATGTCATATATGAAATAGGATCAGGCTTTCGTGTCTACATTATTCCCTATCCAATATAAGATGGTGATCTTGGTTCTTTCCTCACAAATTCCTTTTTCCCCTCCACTCCCTCCCTCATTTCTTTAACAATAACAGACTTTACCTTAGCTCTTAGGTAGATGTCTTACACTGATTTTTTTATTATTTATTTATTTATTTGGTTTTTCAAGACAGGGTTTCTCGGTTTTAGTCCTTGCTGTTCTGGAACTCACTTTGTAGACCAGGCTGGCCTCGAACTCAGAGATCAGTCTGCCTCTACCTCCTGAGTTCTGGGATTAAAGGCATGTGCCACCACCAACACCCATCTTATAGTGATTTCTAAAAGAGCTGTCATTACAAAAAAAAAAGTAAAAATTAATGGAAAAGAAACTGAGAGGGAAAAAATAAAACATTTTCATCAGAACCCTAATGAAAGAATGAGACGTTCACTGCTTCCAAATTCACCATTCTAAAACTCTTTCCATGTCTCACCATTAGAATGTCCTCAGCACTAGTAGTAAGCTGGTGAATAACTTGGAACATCTGGAAACATCTACAAATGAACAAAACGTTTTAATATACTTCAGTCTGAAAAAACTCATTACTCAAGAAAAACTCCCTAAGTGGAATTAATTAGTAAACTTTAGGTTAATAGTAAGTATATATTTAGATTTACAAAGAACTATAGGATAGATTCTTTTCAAAAATTACATTGATCTAGAAAGCCAATTTAATAGCTAAAAAGAAGATATTATTTATGTATATTTTAAAGTATGACATAATTCGTCCCGTTCTCTAATCCTCCAGCAACAGCAAATAAGGAAAAATCCAAGAAGCAACTCAGTATAGTGTAATTTAACAAACAATATAAATCAATACAAACACTGTCAGTAGTCTAACAGTCGGAAAAATGCTGTATGGTTGCTTATATTTTCCATGCCTGTTGTCTCTTATTTAAGTATTAAAATCTGATTCTTATATATTACAATCTCAAAATACTGACAGACAAAAAATTCCCACTTCCCCAAACTCACTCTTCTAAAGTCCTTTTCTTTCCCTTGTCAATCATGGTCATGTGATCATGAACTTTAAGATGTGGCTTCTTGGCTATTAATTTCTTCATGGTATTGGAACTAATGGAGCCATTCAAGTGGGCATGAAGTTCCTAAAACAAGAGAATATAATCGATAAAAAGGTACCAAATATCTACTAGATTCCTAGTCCCATACCAGGCTCTGATGTTTGTAGTTTGTACTAGGCAAGCTACTTAATTGAGTTAGCTATACCCTTCTACAATTTCTACCCATAAAATTTACTTTTCTTTTGTGGAAAAAAAATATAAAAGTCATTATGCAACAAGAATTCTGCAGTTCATTCTTACCACTTTTGGCAATTCCACATAAAAGTCTGTCTTCCATGGCTGCTGTCCTTCTGCCTCCATCCTTCCAGGAGGAGACAAAGATTTCTCTTCACTCTTACTCTTGGCTTGGGCAGTACAACTTACTCAAGTCAGAATTTCTGAGGTCCTGGGCTTTCTTCAGATTGCTTTACTTAACACATATAAGAAAAAATATTCATGCTAGTAAGAGGTGTATTACAATTCAGAGTTAGTCAAAGGTCAGGATCTCACTTCTTATCTGTTTGTATGTTCCTTTAACTTTCCTATGGATAATGCCGGGTTAACATGCACACGTAGTACATGTTTGCTTTCACAAGAAAACATTATTTCACCTTCATGCTGCACCAACACCTTCCTTAAATGGGCTGGGGCTGTGCTGGACCTGATTTTGGGCCCAGATCCTGTCTCTGGATGGAGGCTTGAAGTTACTGTCTGCTCTCCTCTGGGTAGACCAGATGCCTCCAGTCTTGTGCTCACCGAGTCATTCTGCTCCAGAAACTGCTCCCCTAAGATCACTAATCAGCTCCTGAACACCAAAACTTGACATTTTCAATCTGCTGGACTCCAAAACTCATACTTAGTTGTTATCATCCTAATTTCCTTTCCTAACTCAGCCAGACACAAAATTAATAAATGATAACGTTTCTATCTACCTCTGGGAGTGCTTTCTTACTTATAACTCCTAGGCACCCAATGTAGTACTTCATTCTAAACTCCAACTTGGGTTGCTCTCTTTAAAAAGGGGGTGGGGGAACTCAACACGCCACCGGGAATAATTACATCTCTTTCACACTGTTTTCAGCAGACATACTCAACACCACATAAGAATCACAGAATTTTGGAAGTGGAGGAGAGTGTCATTTTATAGTTGAAGAGAGGGTGAATACTTTACTCACTGTAGACCTAGCACAGAACTGTAAATACATAGCATGTATGGGTGCAGGGGACTAAATTGCCAGTAATTATCGGTAAAGGTCTCTTTCTTCACTTTCCATCTGGCCTAATTTAAGATTTAAATGAGCCGGGCGGTGGTGGCGCACGCCTTTAATCCCAGCACTCGGGAGGCAGAGCCAGGTGGATCTCTGTGAGTTGGAGGCCAGCCTGGGCTACCAAGTGAGTCCCAGGAAAGGCGCAAAGCTACACAGAGAAACCCTGTCTTGAAAAACCAAAAAAAAAAAAAAAAAAAAAAAAAAAAAAAAAAAAAAAAAGATTTAAATGAGTTCTCCCTCGCAACGAGAACTGATAAAGGAGAAACTGTTAGGTTTTTTTTGGTTTTTTTGGTTTTTTTTCGAAACAGGTTTTCTCTGCGTAGCCCCGGCTGTCCTAGAACTTGCTCTGGAGACTCCCGCTGGCCTCGAACTCACAAAGATTCGCCTCCCTCTACCTCCCGACTGCTAGGATTAAAGGCGTGCGCCACCACCGCCGGGAAAGAAACCATCTACTTTTGCCTGCTAAGGATCCGCGGTGCTGGTCCTTTGCAGGTCGTCAGCCCACAACTCACCTAAAAATGTTCTGAAACACCTACACAATTTTTTCCCTTCACGCCGAAAAATCTGTAGAAAAGTGGTAAGTTGAGCTCCCCCCACTCTAGCTGTCACCTAAGCAAAGGGCGTGTTCGCGGGAAAACGTGATTCGAAAAAAAACAAAACAAAAAAGGTCTCTCGCGGTTTTCGGCAGAGCGCGCTCTGCTCGGAAGTGACGCACACTGGCACCCGGAAGCGGATAAGCACCAACCCGGTGAGTGTTTCGTGTGGAGTATTGCAGAGCGTCTTCGGGTCATGGGCCCGCGAAGCCGCGAGCGCCGGGCGGGAACGGTCCAGAGCACCAACGACAGCAGCGCCCTCAGCAAGCGATCGCTGGCCGCACACGGATACGTGCGCGACGCCTTCGCGGCGCTGCTGGTCCCGGGACCTGTGCGGCGCACGCCGCTCATCCACCGCGGCTATTACGTGCGCGCGCGCGCCGTGCGTCACTGCGTGCGCGCCTTCCTCCAGCGCACTGGCGCGCTCCCGGCCCCGACCCGGGCACAGATCCTGTCTTTGGGTTCAGGCTCCGACTCGCTGTACTTTCGCCTGAAAGCTGCGGGCCTCCTGGCCCGGGCTGCCGTCTGGGAGGTGGACTTCCCGGACGTGTCTCGGCGCAAGGCGGAGAGGATCAGGGAGACCCCGGAGCTGTGCTCGCTGACCGGCCCTTTCCAGATCGGGGACTCAGCGTCCGCTCTGTGCTTCGAGAGCTCGGATTACCGCATCCTGGGCGCGGACCTGCGTGAGCTCCGGCGATTAGGCGAGGCCCTGGACGGCGCGGGCCTGGACGCCACCTCACCCACGCTGCTCCTGGCCGAGGCGGTGCTGACCTACCTGGAGCCGGCCGGGGCCGCGGCCCTCATCGCCTGGGCCGCCCAGCGTTTCCCCGACGCCCTTTTCGTAATCTATGAGCAGATGAAGCCGCGAGACGCCTTTGGGCAAGTCATGCTGCAGCACTTTGAGCGGCTGCACTCTCCCCTGCACGGCCTGGAGCTCTTCCCCGACGTGGAGGCCCAGGTGCGGCGCTTCCTTCAAGCTGGCTGGACTGCCTGCAGCGCCCTGGACCTGAATGAGTTCTATCGCCGCCATCTCCCCGCAGACGAGCGTCGGCGAGTCGAGACGCTCGAGCCCTTTGATGAGTTTGAGGAGTGGCATCTGAAGTGTGCCCACTATTTCATCCTAGCAGCATCTAGGGGAGACACTCTGTCGGAAACTCCGGTGTTTCCGCCCTCAGAGACATCTTTTCGGATAGATCCTGCTTCGCCTTCGGGTTTTTTTTCTGCCAGAGTAGTCACTAGTGACCACCAGCACTCAAGCCTGAAGAGATATGGCCACACCTCTGTGCTCTTGAGCCCTGGCATCATTTTCAGTGCAGGAGGCTTTGGAGAACAAGAGGGGCGACACTGCCGAGTGAGCACGTTTCACTTGCTCTCGAGATCCTGTGACTCTGAATGGAAAGGCAGCCAAATAAGTACTTTGGGGACTGAAGGCCAGTGGGATGGACGCCTTTATCACACCATGACAAGGCTTTCAGATACTCAGGTTCTGGTTCTCGGAGGGAGATTGTCCCCATTAAGTCCAGCTTCTGGGGCTCTCCAACTTGATTTATACAGAGGTGAGGATAATTGCCCCGAGAGTCAGAATGTAACAGTAACAAAGGCTGCCTTGGAAGAAGGTCCCATGTTGTCCTCTTGGCGGCATTCAACAACGGAAGTATACTATCAGAATCAAAGATATTTGTTTGTGTATGGTGGCCGAAGTGCGGTGGAGCCTGTACTAAGTGACTGTCGTTTCCTACACCTAGAGACAATGGCTTGGGTCAGAATCCCAGTAGAAGGGGCAGCCCCAGAAGGCCGGCATTCCCACAGTGCCTGCAGTTGGCAAGGAGGGGCGCTAATCGCCGGAGGTCTAGGGGCTTCTGAGGAACCATTGAGCTCTGTACTCTTTCTCAGACCAAAGTCCTCTGGATTCCTCTGGGAATCCATCGACATCCAGCCCCCCATTACCCCAAGGTACTCTCACACCGCTCATGTATTTAATGGAAAGCTGCTTCTGATTGGAGGGGTCTGGATTCATTCCTCCTCAGTTCCTGGAGTGACTGTTATCAATTTGACTACGGGGTTGAGCTCTGAGTATCAGCTTGACACAACATCTGTGCCATGGCCATTAATGTTGCACAACCACAGCAGCACCCTCCTTCCTGAAGAGCAGCAGATCCTTCTTACTGGAGGTGGAGGGAACTGCTTTTCCTTCGGGACTTACTTCAACCCCCACACAGTGGCATTAGATCTGTCTTCCTTAAGTACAGGGCAATAAAGACTGGACTCTTGACATATTCAGGACCTAAGAATGAATTTGGTTGTAGACATTGCCACCCCCACCACACACCTCTTTTACCACATTATTGAGTGTAGAACTTGAAAACTCATTAAAATAAATACCAACAATGAGATGGTAGGAAAATAAAACAGTTAAAGGAGTGTCCATACACCCTAGAGACCTCAGCATCATGTGTCCATTTTATTGGGTTTCTACCAATTTTCAAATCTTAGCCATTTATTGAGGCACAACAACCTTTAGCCTAAGTAAAAAATTTCCCAAACTGGGTCTGTGACCTAGATTATATTTTGGGAAAAGTTTCACACAGATCTTTAGTAAGAATACAAAATTGAATATAGATCAGGAACACAGTTTTGACCTGTTTCTTTGTGTGTAAAATCTGAAATGAACACTGCAGTATGAAGACTTATGCTTTTAGTTTGAGCACAGGGCTGGCTTTAACAATGAGAAAAAATACAACTTGAAAATTGTGCTTTTGATCACTTTTTTTTGCTAATGTTTTGTGTTAATAAACCAGACATTTCATGCCTAATTAATTTGTAACTGGTATAATGATGTTTGTTCCAGATCTTACTCTACCTCTCACTGTCAGCCATCACTGTTGTGAACCACACAGCTTAGCTTTATAGGCAGCATCAGTCAGCTCTCTTCTAGAGTTCCACAGGTCAGAAGTACTTACTATCAGGAGGGGAAGCAGGAAGTGAGCCACAGTAGTTGTGGCTCTTCCTCTGCCCGTCTGCAGGTTGGCATGGTGCTTTCTGTCACAGCCATAGCTGCTCTCATGTTACCTGTGCAGTAACTAATTAGGTAGAGCTCTAATACTGCTTTGCTTCAGGTTTTAGGAACTGTTCCTTTTCTTTAACCTCTTCAGACCTAGGAGTTGTGCTGGTTCCTTGTTAGAGCTGAGCTGCATTACCCAATGTAGTGTATTACTTTTCTTTCTTTTGCTGTGAAGAAACACCGTGGGCAAGGCAACTTACAGAAGGAAGGGTTTATTTGGGTGTTTTTGGTTCCAGAGATAAGAGTCCATCCTGGTGTGGTGGCTGAGAATGCACATCCATTACCATAAGCACAGAGAGCAACCTACAAAGAGGGAGAGGCCTTAAGGTCTCAAAGCAAACACCCTCACCCTCACCCCACCCCGCTTCCGCCCCACCCATTCACACCTCATGCCATAGTCCTTTAGCAGAGACACACCTCCCAAACAGTACCACCACCTAGGGACCAAGTGTTCAAATGCATGAGCTTATTCAAACTACCACAAGTAGCAATTAGCAACTTGTGACAATTTAAACACATGAAATATTGGGATTGTAGTGTACCTTATAATCTACAGTCATTAAACTCCCCTCAGTTATCCCTTAAATGATGGGTCAATCTGTTTCTAGAGTTTTGGATAAATTAATGGCATTTCTTAAAATTTGAGACAATCTGTCATGCATGTTGTATATAACATGAGCTTCATAACTAGGAGGTAGTGGCTACATAGAGCTGTTGGGCTAGTGTGATCCTGGATATGATAGTGTCTTGAGATTCTGTAAGTGTCCAGCTGATTATTATTAACCACTAATCTTAGTGAACTTTGTGACATGGAGTCCCTTTACTCTAAATGTTTTTTGTTGACTTTGCACGTAACATGGATGTAAAGGGTAGTTAGTATAAAAACTGAATGGGGTTGTAATTTAACATAAACTTGATGCCAAACTAACAGGAGACTTTATAATGGACCTTTCTGTAAAGTCATTGGTTATGGGCAGGCATGAATCTTGGAATACAGGCAGCATCTGGCAAGACTCTCAGTGGGCCACGTGCTAGGTGATCGACAGCAGTATGACTGGTGTGTTTCCCATTGGTAAGTTTAGCACAGCCTACCTCCAGCTTTCAGGAGCAAGTCAACGGAGACTGTTAACGAAATTAGTGTTCTCGCCTGTGTAGCAGATAGTACCAGAGCCCTGACTACAAACCCATTTCATTCGGCTAGTGTCATCAATCATTATAATTTCATTGCTGTGCGTATAAAAAGGTACAGGGAGGTCATCAAGGGAATGTCGGTGTGCGTCAGAACCAAATCAGTGTAGCAGAGGGCCTGTTCTGAACACCGCCAGGCAGCTCATTATGGATAATTGGGCTTGGGCTTGTTCCTTCAAGAGAACTAACCTGTGTTTTCTGA